TTATACAATTTAATATTATAATTATAATAATTATTTATAATATATTATACAATTATAAATGTTGTTCAAAAATATAATAAAAATGATGACATACAAGCATAATTAACAAATTTAATATGCAAAATTATTACGATAACAATAAAAATACAACACAAATCGATCAATCTCGTAGGTCGTAGCTGAACCATGTTAAGGATATATGTAAATTATGTAATTTTTAATTTTCTTAATACACTTAATTCTCTAATTATTTATTATAATTATGATACTTTAATTCAACTCTTATTTGTCTTGATAATTTGATAACTTTAATTGCCGTAGATTTTATAACATGGATGCACTTTCCCATTAGATAGAAAGAGACAGTAAATGCGTTCTATTCTTTATAGTATCAAATGCACGACACGCATACTCAAAATGACATATGAGAAATGATCAGTAATTTCAAATATATCATGCAGTGATATTTTAACTGATAAGTTATAATTATATATAAGTTATAAGATGAAATCTTACAAAAATGATAAGACAATGCGAGCTATGTGATATGTATTGGTGGAAGAACGGCAATATTTCCTTTCATTCATAAATATAATACTTAATGAATTATACTTTGAAATGTAATAAAGCATAATTACTATTACTCAAAATTCGTGTCGGCCTATGTTATTATATTGTACAATATGTTTAAGATTTGTTATAACTAGAACCTGGATTATCCCATCGACCAATCGGACCGCCGATTCCAAAATAATGACGTATAAGAAAGCATTCACACCTTGGCGGAAAAGCAGAAAGCGGAAAAGCGGAAGCCAATCAGAACTCGCGGAAAAACAGAAGCAGACAAGCGGAATGTATCGTCTACTACTACCGTGAGTTCCGATTGGTTTCCGCTTTTCTGTCAAGGTGTGAACCCGGCCTAAGTCGACTACCGCGCCGCGCAGTATGCTCCCCTTAATAAGCTTATCGCAAGACAACTTAAGGCTTAAACACAATATGGGATATAATATCGAACTTACACACCAGAGCTCTGATTGGGCGTTATTGAGCTCGTTATTCCCTGTTGCCTGTGCCTATTATATTTTAGCCTTTACAGTTTTGTCAAAGGGTCTGAGCACAAGAATTGTCGTAACATTTACTTAGGCTTGATTGTACCAACGTTACTTTGACTTTAAGTGAAACTTAAAACTCTGTCTGTCTTGTTTTAAAGCAGAAAAGAAACAGAGATAGAGAGAGTTTGAAATAAAGCTTCATTTAAATCAAAATAATGTTGGTCGGGCTTCAGAGATTTAAATTATAGACGTAAGTAACACATAAGCTTTGGCGTATGACGTATAATTTATTATCGTCTCTTAGAGACACGGCAATAAGTTGCACGTCATACATGAAAACTTGGGCGTTATTATGTCTGCAATTTAATAGCCGCAGCAGAGACTCTCTCATAACGCATAATGCATAATGCATAAGAGAATCAACCAATCAAAATTCTTTTTTTCTATGGGAAAAAAGGAAAGATTTTGATTAGTTGATTTGCTTATGCACTGTGCGTTATGAGTTATGCAAAAGTCTGTGTTGCGGTCTTTAGTCTAAGTAAGTGTTACAACAATTTTTGTGCTCAGACCCTAACGAACCGAAATTCGTGGACATAGCGAAGAATACAACTAAAAAATCGTGGACATTGGTACTACGTAGTTCAATGTTCACATTTTATGGACATAGAGACGCTTCAAAATAAAGGGTTCCGCACAATAAAAGGAACAGGGAAAGGAATAGAGAACCTATCAGAAACTATATATTCCACAATACATGATTTCTGATAAGTTGAAATTCTTATTCTCTGTTCTCTATTCCTTTTATTGTGCGGAGCCCTTAACAGTTAAATCCCGGGCATGGCTATTCTCAAGCTTCTCTCTGATAGTACTGAAAGCACCTATTGTGTTGATTGCATCTCGTTGGCGTCTGATTGGACGAAATTCCATCCCCACATTCCCTATTATGCGCAATGCTTCTCACCTTTAGAATTCCACCATGTGTAAATCATTACAAGAATACCGGTTTATAATCTCACTTATAATTTTTTCAGTATAATTACTACAAATATTTCAACGCGTTATTATTTATATATTAAATTTATGATCATAAAAGTATTGCCGCGTATCAAAATGGAGACCAATCATTTTGATACTATTGACGAAAGGTATAAATATTTTTTAGAAGTGCAGCTTTGTGTTTAATATTGTAAATATATATTTCTTTTCTTGATAATAAAACTACACTCATGTTGCAGTGCAAATGAGAATGTAATAGGAGCCGAAACTGTTGATGTAGTATTGGAAGAAGCTGAAATAGTAGATTGTGATGCTGATGAACAACAGGATGATGACATTCAGTACCACCTGTATGCGATAAATAGACGTAACAATACAGTAGCATACAAAGTTATGCAGGTTAGCAACGATAGCAGAGAGGATAACGAAATTTCGATAGCTACTCCTGTGAATAATACTGTCCAAGTTTTGACTGCACCTCTAAATGGACAATTATATGTACTCAGTAATAGCAATGACATTGTAACGACAGAATCCACTAAAGCAGTTGTACCTAGCGTAGCTAAACTGCATATAGAAGGATCACAGAATATTATAACTACTGTAAAGAAGGTAAATCACTTAATATTACTGATACATTTTACATTATCATTATTTTGTTTAGAAAGATAATTATATTTAGAGGGATGAAAGACGAAGGGTAACACATAATGAAGTTGAAAGACGTAGAAGGGACAAAATTAGCAATTGGATTTCTAAGTTAGCAAAACTCTTAGCAGATTGTGAGCAGTATATGGATGAAGAAGACACAAAACCAAATTTAGAAACACTAGTAAGAAATTTGTAAATTCTTATTAAATAAATAGAAAGTTTATTAGTTGCAAATCAATAAGGACAATGGCTAAAAATGCAAATAAATTATTTTACTATTACTTAATTTATTTTCTTTAATTTTTATTCGTTCTTGACTGATTCATTGTTGTCCTTATATTGTAAATTCTTAATCTTCAACTGTCGTCGTGAGTCCATTGGAATCTTATCAAATTTTTCAATATCTATCAAAGTCTATTAACATGCTTTAAATGAGGATCAATGCTAATTTTTAGTTTTTATTATTAATTTTTATTAAAAATGGATAAATGAGAGGCTAAGCATCAAAAATATATGATAAAAAAGTTTATATGATTAATGGTTTCTTCACGACATCAGTTAAGGGTTATATTTATGTTTATCTTTTTATCATTTTTGACTTTATGTTATAACTTACATTATTTGTTAATCATAATATTAATTTATAGAGCAAAGGAGGTATTCTAGCACGAGCTTATGAATACATTATGGAATTAAAAGATGCTCCGGACAAATTAACTCTTAGCTTAAATGAAAATGTGCTGTTAATGGAAGAAATTGATCAGCTGCAGCAAGTCGTAACTGAATTAAGAAACGAAAATTCACAATTGAAAAACCAAGTTTCAAAACACGATATAACTATACTCGGTACTTAAATCTTTATAAGGATTATACATCTTTATAAATGATTTCCTATTCATATTTTGTTGCTGATATAAATGAATATCTTTATGACAAGATGGAATAAGAACACATGGACAAGTATAATAGTTATAAAATGTTTATTTACATATTTGTAACTCAGCATATGTATATACAGTGTGTCCCAAAATTCATAACTCAAAATACTATAGCAAGAAAGTTTTGGAAAAGTTAAGTAAAAAGTTATTTATGAATTTTAAGCAATAAGTTTTGAGATACAAGAATTTATGGCCAATTACAGATTATGTATTAATGAGCGCGCTGAAAAGCGCGTTCACCACCGTTAATTAATACTACTGCAAGTAAAGGGTGTTTTTTTAAGCCCGATAGAACTTAAAATTGTAAAAACTAACACAAAAATTAAATTATAATCAAAAAATTTGTTTTAGTCGAAAGATCAATGCATGGCATTAACATTTGAAAATGATTTCGGGCATATGACCGCGGCTGTTTAATTTAATTTTTTGTTTTATTTTTTACAATTTTAAGTTCTATCGGGCTTAAAAAAAACACCCTTTATAATTCATGGACAGATCATCTAAATGTAATTAGATTAGTAATTGGTCATATTTATCTCATCATCCCAAAAATTACTGCTTAAAATAAAAATTTATGAATAACTTTTTTACTTAATTTTTCAAGAACTTTCTTGCTATAGTATTTTGTGTCGCGAAATCTTGAAACATCCTGTGGTGTATATATGCGCGCGCGCGCGTGTGTGTGTGTGTGTATGTGAGTGAGTGAGTGAGTGTGTTTGTTTGTTTGTTTGTTTGTTTTTGTATTTGAAGAACAATGACAATCATTGTATAACATTCTATTGTACATATTGTAAACAATAATTAGCGAACAATTAATTTCGCAATGACGAGTCATCGTCAAGATGATTAAATTAAAGAAATATACAAATATACAAAATGATATCACCGTTTAATCAGTAATCAACTATATGAACGTCAGATATATTGCTTAAATAGTAAATTTCACTTAATTACTACAAAACGTGAAGTTATTTCTTCTAACAAGAAAGTAGGTCTACAATATTTACACTTACAAAATACGTCTATATATTTACAGAAAACAGCGATATCATGCGTTATCAGTGCTTTTCCTCTTGCATCGTTAGTGTAGCGCGAGCTCGCTACGGAAAAAATAGAAAAAAATTATGTTTACTTCATCGTCAGAGTGTACGCACACGGTTATCAATATCAAATCTCAAGGAAAATATAAAGACGTTTTTAAACACGTTATATGTAACTCTAAATTATAACAATAACGCTTAGTTTAATACTTATTGCTTCGAAGCGTTTTTCTTCAAGTTTTGTGCAGATCCTGTTTGTATGACAGTTTCTGAAAAAAGGGGGAGGGAGGATAAGTATTCTCCGAAATATAAATTAATCGGTGTTGAGATTACGTTAGATATGTAATTCACCTGTCAATGAGAGACACCTGTACATGAGAGCTCGTGAGTGCAAGATACGAAATGTTCACGGATTTCGATTACTTCTCCGTCGTGACAGTGCAAGTACGGTTTTGTGAATTGTTTGTGAAAAGTTGTGCTTACTTGTGCATTACACAATATCCCGTAGACAACACGAGTGTCATCAAAAGATGCCTCTAAAACTTATTGAGAAGACGTTCCTCTGAAGGATGTCTTTTAGACCTGCGTGTTGCTCGGGACCTTTCCGCTACTTATTTTTGACAAATTACGTCTCTTCCTTATACTTATGTTAGCCATTAAAGCATTTCATGTATTAGCGATACTTATTGAAAAAATCACATTCGAACTAATGAGTCATTTCTTCTATAAAAATAACTCTGAAATGAGTTGGGTCCAGCAACAAATTGCGCCTCTCCTAAGTCTAAACATCAACAGGCTAATGATCTCTCTGTACAGTAGGAATCTTGATCCATTCTTTTATCATTATATTGTCCTCGTCATATATAGTAATTTACGCTGTCAAGAAATAAGTAAAAATATACTTTTCTGTGTTATACAAAACGTAAATATCGCCTCGCCCATACTTGTGTTACATCCCTTTAGACACAAATATCAAAAAGACAGAATAATCGCGTTTGTCCCTCGTATGTATGTAGAGAGAAAATCGAAAACGCACCGATCTCTTTTTCTCTTATTACAGACCGGATCAAACAATTCTAATGAACGAAGACGTATTTCTTTAAACTTATTGGCAGTGTTGGAAACTTTCAGAATCCGTGAGTCGCTAAAACTGCAAGATCGAACATTTTGTCAAGGGACCGCATAGATAATATGCATAATTAACACAGAGGTTCTGCTGGCTGACAGATATTTTCTCGTTGCTAGGTCTGCATCTTTCATACAAGAGTAGAAAAAATTGAGAGATTCCCTCAATAATCTCCTTTTTCCTCTTTCTTTTTTCTTTCATCTTTTTTTTCTTTTAAAAGCTTGGTGCTTTTATATCGCAGTTGAATAAGGAGGCGTGATATGCGAGTACTTACATATCTTGACATATCTTGACTAATCACTTTTTTCATTTGTATGAATAATACTGCTACTATGTTGTTCCGCGAAAACATAAATTTTATTTTTCTTTCCTTTGCTCTTGCGTTTCATCTTCTCGTTTTTTCCTCGTCCTTTCACAATTTCGTACAAACTACTACAAATATTACCATTATGACGCGAAATAACGAACATTAGTTAGGCAGTAAGAGTTACCTTGTATAGCTCGCTGGAGATTTTCTCTACAAAATACATCTATATTTTCGTTGAGAGAAAAGTGGTATGCGGAATCGCTGATCAGAATTTCCTCGCAAAATCAATCAATATGAATTTCGTGATCGAACTTGCTAACACTTGCGCAGAACGTGTTATTACAAACGATTCTCGTTGTACATAAAATTGGTCGAAAAAATTATTCTCAAAATAGTCAAATAATCTAGACGAAGGCGAAGCTCGTTTAATTCAATTCAAATATTTCCTGATCGATCCCGTCGCATTTCTCTCTCAAGATTACAACCTCAAGGTTTCCTCTTGAGGAAGCATCTCGGTCGTCAGTCTTTCGTTTATCATAAAAAATACAGCCGTGTGACGTACCATGCCAGCTTTACCCAAAAAGCGATTGCGTGTGTAACAATACATCATATATTATGTATATCATGTTTTCATCGGCGTTTACCAAGAATTCGCAATGAAGAATGACTAGTACTTTCTCTTTAGTACTTCATAAGCCCGCTATTGACTTTATGTTATATTTACTATCTACTTCTCTAAATGTCTCTCTACTTTTCTAATCTACCCTCATGTCCGCTACTATTAATGTAGTTTTTAACATCAAATATCTACAAGATCGATTATACATCTTTCTCAGCTCGTAACAAATATTTTTCTTCTTCGAAACGTTCTATCTTTAGTCAGTGTTTATTTCAGACTAAGCACCGCCGTATACGTAACGTCGAAGATGATCGAACATTGCTTTTAAGACCTAATAATTAGGGGAGCACCGATTCGAAGACTCACAAAATCCTGGTTAGGCATAATGAGCGACTTTTGCCCGCAAATATCTAAATTGGACGATGACATTTGATAGAGACAAACGTCTGTTTTCGTGAGAGAGGCAGTAAATGAAAAATCATTGAAAGTTTCTTCTATTTTCCTCTCCACGGACAATGATCAAGATCGGTTGATAACGATTATTTTCCCTGCCTTAGAAGAAGATTCGAGGTATACTTCGTAGGACAAAAGCCACTTATGAATTAACACCTCCGTGCCGTATATATGACGAGGCGCTGTTCATCCTCGGTCCTAGCGATCAGTGGTTCGTTCATCGATCCACGAAGAATAATTTCCATGATTTGACCGGTTGCAAAGTGAGCATTACTCTGATTGGAATATCAGTTAACAAAGATATTCTCGAGTGTATTCTGCTCGCAAAGGTTCCTAAGTTTCGAAGCAACCAATATCGAGATGTCTCGCGCCAGGATTTCGATAGGACGATGCAGCGTTATTAGCTGCAGCTTACAGGTCAATATACGGTACGAAGGTAGGCCTGTCTCAGGACGGTTGAAGCCGTGCACTTTTCTTACTGCTACCAAACATAAACCATGTCCCAACCTTCCGTCCCAACGAATTAGTGGTGCCTTGACCACCGACCATTGTTGTGGGCATCTCGTACGCAGACTCTCTCTTATACGTTTTATCTGCAACATCATTAAATTAATATAAGATAAAATAAATTGATATCGAATAAATCAAATTAAATCGGTTAAAATCGGATACAAATGAATACAAAATAAAATGCAGATATTACAATGAAAAATATTCCAAAGAAAAGCTAAAAATAAAATCCCGACTGAGGTAATATTTTTCGCAATAAATTCTTTACAGAATTAATTTAGAGGGAATTATTTCATATATAGGAATGTTCGAATGTTTCGGCGCCTTATATTTATGTTATTAGCGTACAGTGATCACATCTGACAAGTAACACTACTCAAATGCCATATGCCGATTTCCCTGAGACTGTGCATACATATAGTACATTGAAAAATATCTGACATGTATTCTTTTACATCTGTTCGAAAGCCGTTTTAAAAGTAAAAAACGCCTGAATGTATAGGTGAACTCTAATATTTGACGAAGTACTCGTTTGTTACAGAATGGGGTATATGATGATTTTCGAAGTTGATGAATTCAAATCTGCTCCCAATTTTTGAGAATTCAATATGGTGGAACTAATATGGCGGATTTGATTTTTTTAAAATTAAGATAACAAGATTTTTTGCTCTCTGCCGAACCCGGGAATAATCAAATTTAAAAAAAATTTTTTTATATTCAATATAAAGTGTGAGCATCTAATAATAATAATAATAATAATTTTATCTCCAGCTCCTTTATATGCTTCACTTTAAGTCTCAAAAATAAATAAAAAATTTTTTCAAAAACCTCAAAAAAATATAAAAAAAAAGAAATAGTTTCTCGCCACCTCCAAGTTGATTATTTCTGGGTTCGGCAGAAAGCGAGAATGTCTTGTTGTCTTCATTGAAATGAAATCAAATCCGTCATATTGGTTCCACTATATTGAATTCTCCAAAATTGAAAGCAAATTTGGATTCAGCAATCACCTTCGAAAATCATCGTATACCCCATTTTGTAACAAACATACGAGTACTTTGTCAAATACTGGAATTCCTTATCATCGACGAGATACTATAAAGACCGACATCCTTATGGAAGTCCTTGAGAATATTGAAGTGATTAAGAATTAAAAACTGATAATATTGTATTAATTTTATGATTTGATTAGTTTAGTAGACGTATTTATAACGCATTTTGAACTCAATAATACTCTCAATAATACTATCGATTTAGAACTCAATAATACTCTCAATAATACTATCGATTTTTCTTTAAAATTATGATTTCAGTGTTATCGTCAAAGTTTGATTATCAACAGAGATGATAACTGCAGAGAAAAAGTTGTAATTTTTCTGCAATATATAAGATATTATAGCTTAACAAGCTATATGCACATTTATTTATGGAACATTTATATAATAAAAAATCATGATTAATAATGGATAAGTCAAATACGTATGTTAATAATAGCAAATTTATATCAATTGTCGATAATGACAGCGTTCTTCAATTACCTCCGGGCCTTCTGGGCCCTTTTTATATCGTCGAAAATTTGCCCAGGGTTGTCGGTCTTTAATAGTATCTCGTCGGTGTCTCTATACATTCATAAGGGCGTTTTCTATCCTTAAAACGGCTTTTGGGCAGATATAAAAAAAATACGTGTCTGATATTTTTCAATGTATTACATGTATGCACAGTCTCAGGGAAATCGACACTTGTGAGATAATTAAATCTCTAAATTAAAAATCTATATTGTATTCATAACATTTAATCTTCACCGATTATTGGCGTTCTCTCTCTTATTTATGTATATTATTTACACGGTCGTACTTATTCTTAAAAATAAAATGGTATCTTATTAATATGATTATAGATAATGTCACAGTGGCAAATATTTACTGCGAGGTTTGATCGGTGGCCTGTTCTGCTGTCTGCTGGCGGCAAGCCTGGCAAGTTGCCTAGCTGCTGCTGGAAACTCCAATCCATCGTTTCTATCCTGAGCCACCAGCCTTCGTTCCTCAGCCATTGCCGCTAGCCATCGCCGTTTCTCTTCCGCTGTGCGGCAACAAAAAAGTAGCCATTTGTCTCGGACGCAGCTGTACACCTTCAGACAATGTCTCACTGTTACCCCCGATTGAAGGTCTACGAAGAAAATCAATTATTAATTTGATATATCTTCATTACAAATCGTGATCAGTTATATGTACATCGTAGATCCTACCAATTCTATTTTAATTATTTAATAACGTGCTTTGCTACGATGAATAATATACAAAATGAAAAAAAATAATAATAAAATTATATAAAATTATAAAATTTATGAATTATTACTTTCTTATCGTAAAAGATATAATAATTTAAATTATCGAGAAATGCATTACCTTTTCCATCAGGCACATCAATGACTTCGCTAGTGTCGAGATAGATGCGACCTTTGTAGACGTAAGTATTACGCTTGAGAATGTCCTTTTTGCAATAGACCAGTTGATGATCGAAAAGGAATAACGTAATGTTGTTTGTCCACATACCGGTCTTCACTCTCATCGCCTCACCTTGATAAATAAGTTGCGACGAAACTTCTATGAGATCCTCACCCTGCGACCGATCATCGATATTAAATATATTTCTCAACAAATTTTTTTTTAATTAACCATTTTAAATAAAGCTCGCATTATTCAGGCAAAATCGGTATTGCAGCCAAAATGTAAATTTTAAAGAGAATTTTTATTTGCAACTATGAAAAGTGACATACCTCCCAACCTTCTACGCGCAATTGCCATGCGGCTAACTTTTCCAAACTTTCCATCCGCCTTTTTCTCTCGTTGATCAATACAGCGACGTCTCTCATCGCTTCCAAGGCCTCCTGGATCTTGTGATAATCCGGATGATCGGTCTTCGTATATTTCAGCAGCTCCGCCAATTGAAGAGGATATTTGCATATACGTTGGATGGGAGTCAATAAATATCCGTCCAAGGGGATTTCTATGAGACCCCTCATCAATCGACAAGCCTCGAAAAATTTGCTATAACGATTGTGCTGATAAAGCTCTTGCAACGTTGCCGTGGCCATTGGGTGACTGTTGCAGTATTCGGAATACATGCGAAAACCCGCCCTCTGAAAGAATCAATAACACCTCCTTTTTAACTTTATCTAAAGGTATATAAACAGAATTCTTTCTAACGTCTCTCTAACTTTCTATATATAATTCGAGAAAGTCAAGTAGAATGAACACACAGACGTATCAATTAATTCATTATTCATATAAATGGGATTATCAACAAATAAGAAAATTCATTATAAATTTGACAATGCTAACATGATTGAGGAAGCATTCGCCAACGCAGCTTTTGTACGGCGCGTTCCAGTCGATGCGATCTTCAAGGTCCTTCAGGAATTCGGATTGAAAGTCTAGGAGCTCTTCGAGGTTGATGAAGATCGTCTCGATCTGCTCCTCGGTAAACATATCCGTTCGCCTGCGGCATTCCGCGATGTAACCCTCAGCCACGTCGCGTAGAACCTTAACGAAATCGCGCTCAGTCTGGACAAGCTCGCGGACCACGCTAGTTCTTACTTGCTCGTTCGAGAGTAGGGAGATGCTTGTTCGTCTTCTGAGCTGAGTACCTGAAGACCCTCCCGAAGCCATTGCAGCCAGACAATCCTCCACCGTGTCCTCTTGACTCACGCGCAACTTTACAAACAAATTTATTTCACTGAGTTTATTTATTTATATATACGTTTAATTTAATTTAATTACGTAACTAAAAATTCGATAATTAAAATAATTATAATTATTTAAAAAATAAATAATTATGATATTATTACTTGAGATAATTCTAATGGAGATAAAAAATGGCGTATATAATTCGTTGATAAATTATTATTAATATGATAATTATATTGTATACATATTAATTATTATATTAAACATTTTATGTATTATAAATAATATTTATTGTTATTATAAAAATCGTACGGATTTATTTAAGGACATTTATACCCTGACAAAAGCGGCAGGAAACCATCCATACTCTCCTCTGCAGCTACCCCACCACCAATCCCTGTCCAGGGTATCGAGAACATCGATGACATCCCCAGCACGAAAAGCCAACTCTTCCGACTCCATTGCCACATGATCCCAAACGGCTTCAGCTAACATGACAATCTCTTCATCCATCGTTTGCTCGAATGATTTTTTTTTATCCGTCAAGGAAGCGATCGAAGATTCGGAATCAGACATCATTTCATCATCTTCTGATGTTCCGGCTCTTCCATCCTGCTCGTCCTCTGATAGCACGTTGCCACTGGGTAATCTCGCGCCTACTTTTTTAGGAATAGAATTTTGTTGTAGTAGAAATAAATAAACAATGTGAGTACATACCCTTAAACAGATTGTCCAAATATTGACTCAAATTTTAAACAAAACATAGTTGAAGAAATAAACATGGAAATTAATCGGCACATATATCGATAATATATTGTTATCTTTTTAATAAATATATTGCAACTTATTTGCAAAATTACAAAGAGGATATTAAAAATATAAAAAAATAAACCTAACAAAATTAACTTTTTTAAAGAAATATCTTTTCATTTGATTCTTTAGTATAAATGTTTTGTCTGAACAAAACAATCGATTCCTACAAAGCGTCCTATAACGTGAACGACATTTCGCTCCGTTTACGCTCGTCGAAGGAATCCCTCTGGAAGTTATTGGGACAACAAGTACGTCAGCCCCCGGGCCCAAAAACCGTCCATTGTGCAGTTCTCGGTGTGAGCGGAAAAAGAATGAAACAGTAGTTTTCATAAGATTCCTCGAGAGAAGGTAACCAAGCCCGCCGGAGTATCTCTCTTAAGTATTCAGTTAACCGCGTACGTGCGAATTGATCGCACCCTCGGGAAGTCGCATCTCTCGCGAGAAGGAGAGCTACGAACGTGCAAGAAAATGCTTTTACTAGGTTCTCCGGCAAACCGGGTTTCCTTATTATTGTAACGCAAAACAGAAACGTTTCCACACGAAGCAACGTTCTTACAGGGATGAAACTGAGCATGATTATTACAATAGGGACGTCCCATTCCTTACTCTCGCACAATTAGCTTCCCTTCTCTTTTCTTTCTCTTTATTAAGAGGGTGCATTCAATGGCAACACGATGTGAATGTTTCAACAATATTTTTACGAGGAATGCATGCTGAATACTCTTCAAGGTGATGTCTAGAGAGAAAACTGGTGATCTCTGTGGTATACAGTGCACTAGATGTCATCGAGGTTTTTCTACTGGCGTGTAAACTCTGTCCACCCAGCAAACGCGTTCTGACAGAATCCCTCCAACAATTCCGATACCGCATGAAAATATCTTTTTGAATTATTTGCTCAACATAATAAAAATGATCATTAAAAAGAATCTTAGTTTCCGTATCATTCTCTTGCGTTTTTCTTTCTCAATTTTTTTTATATTACATTAATAATAATTATAATGTATCTTTTAAAAATCTAGAACAATCTACGATTAATTTTTTTTAAAAATAATATTTCGAGTGATATGAGTAATTCTTCTCGATAGAGATGATTCAAGAAGAGACGTGCCGTCTCTCGTATTTTGCAGACGATAAGAGAACAGTCTACGCGCGTGCTTGGTAGACAAGACGAGAGGAACGTGATCTACGTCAGAGAGCTCGAAGTCTATCTTAAGTTAAAAGGTCAAATATGATGTTTACCTGCGGTTTTGACGCGCATTAACGGCGAAAGCTGATTGATTCCCAGTGGCTGGCTAAGCGACCGCCTCAAATTTGTCCGAGAACTCCTCCCTTTCGCGTTACTAAAGACCGCGAGAAAAAGAGAAAACGTTATTCGACATTAATTCGTTTTTGTACCGCGTTAACGTGCGGCGTATCGAGCGAAGGGATCGACAAAAGCGTGTACTCAGGTATTAAGCATATCGGTACAACATTCAGCAACAGATTACAGTATAGGTAGGTATAATATGTATATGTATAATATATATATATATATATATAGAGTACAACACACGACAAGAGGTATGTATATATACATATGTATATATACGTATGTTACGCGTGGCACAGATCAACTTTTTACTGGAGGAAAGATTAAAAGAAGGTGGTTTGTTATAATACCCGTCTACCTACCACTGGTCTCCCTCGATTTACTGGAAAGGTTCGAGAACAAAGAATTTTAAGTTTTCCCAAGTTGTCACTTGTTTTTCGGGGGTTGTTGATTCGAGATGTGGGAATCGCAATATAAGTGTCGCGTTTGTGAGAGGAAGTCAGAATTGTTATTGATTCGAAAATAAAAAAGCAGCGAGCGAGCGAGGCTACAGTAGGTATGGCCGTGCGGCTAAAAAGAGCGGAGTTAACAAGCGATATATCTTTTTACTTCGTATGTTTCTCTTTTCTTTTAATGCCTCCTTGACACTGCTAGCTTATTCACACTTGCAGAGTGCGAAAGATTATGCTCGCCTCGATTCTGGAAACCCAAGGAAACGTTGCTTGGATCTCAAATATATATTTTAATTGTACATTTGTACAATTCAAATAGAATGTGACAATTTTGAGCGTAAAACAAAATATTCGATATTTTTAAAAGTTTTAGTTTGATATTTTAAAAAATTGTAATAAAAGGTGTGTAAAATAATAATATTATGAGATAATATTATATAGAAGAAAACCTCAATCAATTACAATTCGATTAAAAAAAATCTTGTAACTTTTTTAGATAAAACACATTTTAAAAAGTAGCATATTTTGATTAAATCTATTATCGAATATGACAATTTTATATATTTTATGCATTAAACAAAACATACATTTCATACATTTTAAAAGTTTTAATTTGAGATATTTGGAAAAAAATTACATAAAAGAGAAAATGTAAGATAATAATATTGTAAGATGATCCAAAAAAAGACTTTCTTTTAATTCTAATTCCATTTTTTAAATTTCGTAATTCTTTAGATAGAATATATTAAGAAAAGTAATATATTTTATAATTAAATCATGTATTTATCGAATGTAACAATTTTACGCATAAAAATATATACTTATAAATATTTTTAAATGGTTCGATTTGAGATCTGAAGGAATTATGTAATGAAAAATAGGATAATAACATTATAAGATGATATTATGAGAAGAAAACTTCTCTCTTAGTTATAATTCTCTGTTCAGCAAATCTTTTAGATAAAATACGTTAAGAAAGTAGCTTTGAGAATAATAAGAAAGATCATTAAAGCTTTTAATAAGGTTTGCCTTATTCAAACTCCTTTTCTCATTACTGAAAATCGCTTGAATAGCTTCGATGGTTTTATACCTATCTAAAAAGAAAAAAGTTCTTTATATTTATATATTTTTCTCTCGTTAAAGCTTTTCAAGAGGCTTCTCTAAGCAATCGTACTTCTATCAGTTCAAGGATCCAAATGCAACGGTTGCCTGGGTTTCCCCAGCCTTCGCGAAGAGCCGACGTGATTCGCAAATGGCGATGATTTAATGAGGCGTACGCGACAAGGGTTGCTTGAACACAAGCGCGATTGTGATGATTAAACGCACCTTCTGAGCGTAACGATATCATGGGAGGAGTGCCTCGGGCTGAGCCTTGGCGGTCTCGATTTGATCGGTGACGGAGTTGACAGCATCCTGCGATAATTGTGAACGTATCCAGATCTGGTGTCCCATTGGAGCAATCTCTGCCCTCCTAAATCGCTGTTCGTGCGACGCACGTGATTATGCCGCGACGCACGATTCTGTAGATCCGCCTGAAACAGTCATGCGATTTTGATGAGGAGCTGCAATTAATTTATGTCGCGCTGAACGCGCTTAATTCATCGCACCTCCAAGATGAAACGCGCAAGTTCCCTATTTTCTCTACAATTCGCAGCGAGTTATATCGCAGGTCTATGTATCATGAACGTATTAAATTTGTCGGAAATAACGAGAAATTTAATACGTTTCTTTACTGTGTGCTATTTCAATGTAACTACAAGATAGTAAAGGTTCTTTTATGTTGTTTTTATCCGAAAGATATAAATCTCCCTTGCTCTTTTTTTCTTTTTTTATTTCTAATATAAAACTGTTCTTTCATAAGATTTTGTAATCTTTAGATATACAAAGATAATTATATTTAATCTACACAGAATGTATCAAACTATCTGTATTACCCTTTTTTTAAAAATGAATTTGGAAGTTGGGAAAAGAATTTTTATTACTAAAGCTATCTGAATTATCTAACAGTGGCATTTTAGTTTTCCGGAACTGTTGAAAGTAGGATAGACCTGAGTCAAGTCTGAAATTTTAAATAGAAGTAGAGTTCGTAGAAATTGTTGACTAAGTCTTTTAAAAATAAATAACACTTGCTTAAAATTTTTTTAATATTACAATTTACGAGAAAAATAAGGAAGTGTCATAGATTATGAATCATTCATTTATCTAGACACTGATAATTATCTGGAGTTTAAATTAAGTTTTTACATTTTTAGGATTAAACCATATATGTGATTAAGAAATTTTAAAAATACTTTTTCTTCTATTTTTATTTTAATTGAAACAAAAACATTAATAAAAAATAATATTATTTTTTGTTAAGAGTAAAAGGTATTAAAACTTTTTTATTTAAAAATTATTTTTTTGCAATAGACCTATCCAATGATATTTTATTCACCTATGTTTAAATTAAAAATTTAAGGATCTGTTATAGTTTCTTTACTTTTTATTTTATTTCTAAAAACATAAATACTACCATTCGATTCATCACGTAGATTAATCTCTTATCGGTCTTTGGTTAAAATTTTAATTTGAACTCTCGATATTAATGTCTGGATGACTCATATTTGTGATATTATTTTATTTTCCTCATAAATCGTGATATGAAAAAAAGTTTAAGCAAAAATTGTTGAATTTTAAAAGACCTATCCAATAATATCTTCTTATGCGACCTATGTTCCTATTTACTTTGTCAAATCTGGTTCAGGTTTACTTCCGGTTAATTTTTTCAATACTGCCATTAGTTTAAATAGGTAAATTGAGAATAAAATTTTTCTCCCTAACTTCGGACTATTATTCATTTCCGAGAAAAAAAATAATAGTAGGGTAACTCCGGTATATACGCCGCACCTATCAAAAACTTAATTTGTTAAATATTATTTACTATATTTAAGTAAATGAACTATATCAGTAAAAACTTTGTACTGTTTACTATTATAAAAAAAATATTAGAAATCTGAAATATTTATATTTCGTATTAAAAAATGAACTTTTTTAAACCTTGCATTTTTGCCGTATATCCCATAGGGATATCTCATAGGGGGAGGAAGGATATGTATGGCTCACGAAAAATTTACAAATAATGCATATAAATAAGATATAAAATGACACAATAACTTATAAACTTTATAATAATAACTTATAATGCGTTTATAAAGTTTTATTAAGAAATAAGAATGATAAATATGTATATGAAGTAATAAATAATAATTACAATCTTTCCAAATGAATTATTAAGTGTTATGCCATGAGGTATATATTTTATATATATAATGCGTTTATTACATTTAGTGCACTGAATTCAATCTATGCACTTTGTATGCTTTGGGCATAAATCTCGCCTGTTGAAAATGCCGTATATTCCAAACAAGTGGGATGTACAAAACAACAAACTAAACAAAGAATACAAAAGCAAAGTACTTATGTTTTGTTATACGTACTTTATTATTCCTTTACTTCGCACGATTCTGTAGATCCGCCTGAAACAGTCATGCGATTTTGATGAGGAGCTGCAATTAATTTATGTCGCGCTGAACGCGCTTAATTCATCGCACCTCCAAGATGAAACGCGCAAGTTCCCTATTTTCTCTACAATTCGCAGCGAGTTATATCGCAGGTCTATGTATCATGAACGTATTAAATTTGTCGGAAATAACGAGAAATTTAATACGTTTCTTTACTGTGTGCTATTTCAATGTAACTACAAGATAGTAAAGGTTCTTTTATGTTGTTTTTATCCGAAAGATATAAATCTCCCTTGCTCTTTTTTTCTTTTTTTATTTCTAATATAAAACTGTTCTTTCATAAGATTTTGTAATCTTTAGATATACAAAGATAATTATATTTAATCTACACAGAATGTATCAAACTATCTGTATTACCCTTTTTTTAAAAATGAATTTGGAAGTTGGGAAAAGAATTTTTATTACTAAAGCTATCTGAATTATCTAACAGTGGCATTTTAGTTTTCCGGAACTGTTGAAAGTAGGATAGACCTGAGTCAAGTCTGAAATTTTAAATAGAAGTAGAGTTCGTAGAAATTGTTGACTAAGTCTTTTAAAAATAAATAACACTTGCTTAAAATTTTTTTAATATTACAATTTACGAGAAAAATAAGGAAGTGTCATAGATTATGAATCATTCATTTATCTAGACACTGATAATTATCTGGAGTTTAAATTAAGTTTTTACATTTTTAGGATTAAACCATATATGTGATTAAGAAATTTTAAAAATACTTTTTCTTCTATTTTTATTTTAATTGAAACAAAAACATTAATAAAAAATAATATTATTTTTTGTTAAGAGTAAAAGGTATTAAAACTTTTTTATTTAAAAATTATTTTTTTGCAATAGACCTATCCAATGATATTTTATTCACCTATGTTTAAATTAAAAATTTAAGGATCTGTTATAGTTTCTTTACTTTTTATTTTATTTCTAAAAACATAAATACTACCATTCGATTCATCACGTAGATTAATCTCTTATCGGTCTTTGGTTAAAATTTTAATTTGAACTCTCGATATTAATGTCTGGATGACTCATATTTGTGATATTATTTTATTTTCCTCATAAATCGTGATATGAAAAAAAGTTTAAGCAAAAATTGTTGAATTTTAAAAGACCTATCCAATAATATCTTCTTATGCGACCTATGTTCCTATTTACTTTGTCAAATCTGGTTCAGGTTTACTTCCGGTTAATTTTTTCAATACTGCCATTAGTTTAAATAGGTAAATTGAGAATAAAATTTTTCTCCCTAACTTCGGACTATTATTCATTTCCGAGAAAAAAAATAATAGTAGGGTAACTCCGGTATATACGCCGCACCTATCAAAAACTTAATTTGTTAAATATTATTTACTATATTTAAGTAAATGAACTATATCAGTAAAAACTTTGTACTGTTTACTATTATAAAAAAAATATTAGAAATCTGAAATATTTATATTTCGTATTAAAAAATGAACTTTTTTAAACCTTGCATTTTTGCCGTATATCCCATAGGGATATCTCATAGGGGGAGGAAGGATATGTATGGCTCACGAAAAATTTACAAATAATGCATATAAATAAGATATAAAATGACACAATAACTTATAAACTTTATAAAAGTTTTATTAAGGAATAAGAATAATAAATATATATATGAAGTAATAAATAATAATTATAATCTTGCCAGATGTATTACAAGGATTATGAGATACATATTGGGTTATGTACCTCATAGGGTTATGAGGTACATATTTCATGCGTTTATTACATTTAGTGCACTGAATTCAATCTATGCACTTTGTATGCTTTGGGCATAAATCTCGCCTGTTGAAAATGCCGTATATTCCAAACAAGTGGGATGTACAAAACAACAAACTAAACAAAGAATACAAAAGCAAAGTACTTATGTTTTGTTATACGTACTTTATTATTCCTTTACTTTCATGTATCACGAAATAACTACTAAGTCTTTTGCACGTCCTACAATAATCATTTTATGTAGATTATAGTTTATGATGGTGTTACTTAATACAGTGAATCAACATCGATTCAATTCACAATAATTTCATTAATATTAACAGTAAGAAACTGAAATCGGAACACTATACTAATATAACATAAAGGCACATAATAGAGTAGTTGCGGGAAAATTATCCCCTTCTATTTTTTCTGACTTCTACGGTGTAAATCCCAGCGCGGCGTATTTGCCGGAGTTACCCTATGTGTAATCTGACATAGTCTGTTATATAAAATATTTTTAATTTTCTAATATGCTGTTACTAATATTTTGGCTAGTTCAGAATGAATTCTTCTTCAGCAGAAATATAGAGATTATTATTTATTTTCTAATACTTTACATTATATCTATAATTTAGCTTCAAACATTAATTTATAAAATTTTGTCTGTTATCTAAAAAAGAATAAAATAAAATGTTAAAAAAATAGGCCAAAATACGCAAAGATAAAAGATGTATGATTAATTATACAATTCTAATTTGTCAATTTAAAATTAGGACGATATAATGGAACCAGTTTTGACCTAATTCAATCAGTCTTTGTCAGCCACAATTGCATAAAATAAAATAATATTCAGTTAATTAAAATTAGTAAATACATAATTAAAAATTTTGAGATAAATAACATATATAATATATATGACATATAAGTAAAAACAATATTCAAGCTATAAATATAATCCAAAAATAATGTTATGCAATATTATGAAATAAAATACATTAATTGTCGTTATGATATATAAAAATAAAATTAATTAAATTAAAGAGAATATAATATAATGATGGATGGAACTTGTCACTTCATCTCGTATGAACATTGTATCCATCTTCTCCTTTTTTTCTTATACAAATATTATCTTGGTGCAGTCAATATGTGAAAAAGTCGAATAGATTAATAATTATTGTGATATGGTTATTATAATTGGTAAAACTTCAAAGTAAATAAGATATTTGAGAAATTTCATATTAGTATGATTTTAAGCGATAATGCAACGTTATCAATATTTCGTAATTAAAATACTGCAAATATTCAAATTGTATTACACTAAACTCTAATTATAAAATTAATTTTGTTTTTCAAATTAAGTTTGTTATTCATTTGATTTTTCAAAATTTAATCACGGAAAATCTTTCTTTTCCAATTTTCTTTATTACAATTATACTTATATATATATATATATATGTGTATATAAGTTGAAAATTAATGATTATTTATTAAGAAAAAAATTTATTCCAAAGTATTAAAAAGATAATATAAATTTTAAGATGTATGCAAACATTTTTAATGGAAATTAGAAACAATATTACTCATAAATAACTCATATATAAATTAATGACACTTTACTTTTTGTTCTTCGTCAATTGTCGACATTATTCTTTGATAGCATCAAAAGAATGGATTTATACGGACTTTTGTACGAAATGATTAATATACACACAACAATTGTATTTCACGCACGCAAAATATTCAGGCAACAGACTCGAGCATAACAAGTTCTTTACACCGTGAGTTAAATTCTGGACGACCGCATGAGCTGCTCCATATCGACTAATGACGAGCGCGTTTCCTTTCTCGGTATCCTGGCGTTTGCGATATAAAAACGAATCACGAAATGGTAAGTGAATCTTTCTGCAAACGTGGTCAAATCGTACGTAGAGATGACTAATTCTGGCTCTATCGAGGAAACGGTTACGACAATAACACCGATAAGCATTATGTTACTATTAATGACTAATGTAAGTCATCGTTTACAGCAAAAAGAAATATAATAAATACAATAAAAATAAATTGTCCGGGATTATATATACAATTTATATAAAAATAATGTCCAATCGCGCGTGTGTGTCCTTGTCTCGCGAGAGATTAATTCGGAAAAGCGAATTATATTTGCTGCAAAAAATATTTGAACTTTTACGTATGGAATTGATTATATCTTTACAAAAAGAGCCATTTAATTCGCTACCAATCTAATCTTGACCGAAAAACAAACAATAAAGTTAAAAATTGCGCACTTGATTTAATTAATATTGAACACTGTCCATTACAATATTCATCGCGATTTGCTTCAACTGTTGGATCGGAACAAAAGTTCGTAGCGCTAAAAACTTCGAAATTCAAGTAGCTACAACTTCGTTAAAAATGAACAAAACTTAAATTTTTAAAAAGGATTTTAAAGCTTGAAATCTCTACTTTCGAAAAGTCACTATGTCTTTTTTACGTTTCTGTGATTGAAGTAACTTTTACATATAGAAAACTACGAGCTGTACAAAATAAGAAATTTTCTTCTCACTTTGTAAACCTGTCACATGCCCCAAAAAAACTTGTGAACATTTTTTTATTTTCTAACATGACAACTTAAAGTTTTCTCTACAAAATCGTTCCTAAAATTTTGTTACTGATATACAATTAAGGATTGTATAGCCACAACTCAAGATGTTTTAAGAGATAAAATAATGTATTTCGAATAAATACGTTAAAACATAAAATTTGTAAATTTCGTTACGGAATTATTGCACATTTCAAAAAATGGATTTTTAAAGTTAAAACTTTGTTCTAATATAGAATGGTATATAATTGCAAAATTATATTAGGTGTTGGAATTAATTCGTAGCGTTTTTTAATGAAAGAATGTTATTTATTTCACATGAGCATTAAAAAATACATTAATGAAAGTACTTCCCATCACTTGTAAAACGCTACGAATTAATTCCAACACCTAATATTATTCCAAATTTTTTTTAAAAACATGAGATACAATACAAATAAAATAACGCTACAAACTTTTGTTCCAATATTTTTATATTGTAAGAAATTAATGTATCGATTTCATATTGTGCAAGCTGAAACATTTTCTGAAATAAAGATATGAGAGGCATTAACATAACGATGAGAGAAAGGAATAAAAAAGTTTACCTTGAACTTGTCAATCAGTATCTGGTTGATGAGCTCGGACTGGGGTCGCAATTTATCGGTAACTCGCCTGCGAAGAGCCGGAGGGCTGTCAGTGTCGTCGGGAATATCGTCCGTATCGTGGGACTCGGAGCTGTCACCACCCCCCATCACTCCACCGCCACTGCCCCCAGTCAACGCTCCACCAGATACCATCTATGTCATTCATGTAAAATGTTTACGATATTTACTTCCTTCATGTGTCAACTCTTTTTCGTTGAGTTGTGCAACACTTTGAGGACGCTACCTAAATCGTCCGAAAGATGTTTGGAGGAAGTTTGAAAGATTAAGATGATCTCTCAGCCGCATAAGATTCTCCTATTTCGCCTAAAAACTGTTCCAATCTTTCAAACACCCTTAGACGTCATTCGAACATTTCTTGAACTCGCAACTTGTTTTTCGAAGTAGTTTTTCGAACGTAGAGAAAATAAAAAAATTTGTCTTTTTCTCTTTCGTTTTCTTTCTTTCATCTTCTCACCTCGATTTGTATACCGCTGTCTCCGCTGTTGCATTTGGCGTTTCGGGCAGCTTTGTTACCCTTTTTTCTCTCCTTGCTGCTCCTCCAGACGAGTGGGCCAAACCTAAATATATTCGGTTAAGTCATATTCGCTTCTCCTCTCAAGATGATTGTCATTAAAGGATACGATCTTTTATCACTCTCTATGTCAAATATGTGATTGAATTTAATTTGATAGTTTATGTTTATATAATGGCTAAAATTTGGGATCTATATTAATTTTAGACTCAATAATATATTATACATATTCTGTTTTAAAAATAATTTCTTTTTTTTTAATAAAATATATTTTAAAAAAGGCAATTATTACAAAAGTGAAACAGACATAATTTAAAAAATTAAATTTTTCAGAAAAAGGGAAAAATTTTTCAACTTGAAATTATTAAATCAAATATTGGCAAAAAGAATAATAATTATCAACATAATAAAATGTTTTTTTTTGTTATTTTCGTTTTACTCTTAAAAAAAACCACTTTTTGAAATGTGATTTTAACGATTTTTTTGATAATTTTTTATGAAATTAATTTTTGATAATTGCTAGAGTAATCTTTATTTAACTTATTCTCTCGTAATAACTTGAAAATTACATTTTTTTATTTTTTGAGTGCCACTTTTGAAATAAGGAAGCGATATGCTCAAAATTGAAGAAATTAAATTAAGGAGGAGTTCACCTCTTAGACTAATATAAACATAGTCGTTTGCATATCCTGCCTTTCTAGGATATACGGATAATAACTATGGTCGATTATACTGTATAATTATATTACATTAAAAAGGATTCGAAACTTGGATTGAAATGTTTGTAATTATTGGTGTTTCGAATAAATTATGCACATTATTAATCTATGTTCGGCTCATAAATCATGTTTTAACTATTGATATATCTCATTTGAATCTTGTGTGGGGAATTTATATATATATATATATATATATGTAATATATATTGGATAATATACAGATTGCAAACAAATTATTCTTTACGCCTACCGTAATCAACGTTGTAATAACAATATCTTCATGACCTAAGTCTAAGATTGTATTCGGTCAAAGAGAGTAAGAAACTATGATACAAACCGGAATTTCTGGTCATTGCTAGAATCGTCTTTGTGTTGGCTTTGACTGCTTTGCTCGGAAGTGGTTACGGAAGGCGATTCTGTGCCTTCCTCCTCATCCAATGGCCCGGTGCCATCATTGTCTTCCACGGGACATTCCTCGTTGCTCTCCTTACTGCCTTTCTTGTGGAACCTCAGCGAGAAGCTCTTACGGAATTTCTGCAGTACGCTCTCTTGCTGGCTCTGTGCGCGATGCGCAGCATTTTGACTTCCGCCGGTGGGCACATTGGCAACATTCAGGACGGAAGACGGTTCTTGCAACCTGGAATGACTGACCAGAGGGATCGTAGCCTCGGCCAAGGGATGTTCGGTCGTCACGTGGCCCGTCCTTGTTCCTTCGTCCTCTTCGTCGCCAGACCATTGTCGACTGTAAATAGAAATTGCCCCTTTATTCATCTTACAGGAAATTACATTAAATGAGAGGAACCGACAAGAATTCAGGAAGCTCCCAAGGCAAGAAATTCCTGATTTTCCATATCAAGAATTGCTTTAGAAATTATTGAATTCCTTTCGATTCCCGTCTATCTCTGTCGATTGGCTTTAATTCTTATGAGACTCATCAGGAATTAAAAAAAGATGAATCTCTTGCATAATTGATCAAGATGCGAAGCGTCCGGGGTTAAAACGGATGTAAAATGGATCCGACAAATTATATAGATTCAATTCCTCCATTCAAGTTCTAACATTCGCGTGTCACATAAAGCTAAAGTCAATATCTCTCCATGCATCTCGTGTATGGCATACGACTACAAAAAAGCATCGAGAATGATCGAGAAGAGACGATCTACAAATTTTTGCATTACTTGTATAAAAACGGAATCATTCGATAGTTCGCGGATTGAATGGTCTTTGAATCTCACAAGAATAAATTCTCTCTCTGTTTCCATTTATTTTTTCAAACGTTACGACTAACCGATGATCTCCGATGAAAATCGACAAGAGACAACTACGCGAACCACCTCTCATGTCTCGCATTATTCAGCGTCTGTTCACTATGAGGAAAACGCGGAAAAGAGGCAAGACTGATTAATCACGAACGTGCTCGGTCGAAGGCGCATAACGAGTGCATGCGCGATTGCAGTTAACAAAATGACCATCCGAAACTGAACAGCGGAAATGCGTCTACGTTCGCGAAAGAGGAAACCGGTCGAAATATTTCGCAAACGTTTCACGAATAAAGTTGCATTAGCGTTTCGTGAAATTATTCAGCGTGGCAATTTTGTTTCCATGCGTCGTCGGATCGCTCCCTACCGTGGTGCTAATAAGTGCAGTATGAATTATTCGTCCTCGTGCTAAATACGTATAAATATATCCTATGTAATACGAGCATCCCTCCGTGATGCAACGTTTCGTTAAAATTATCATGGCCGCGCGAATGTTTATGATAGGGCGCGAGGAAACGTTTAATGATGTTAATTGTGCATGCATTGCGCACATTAATCATTAATCATAAAGGAAATATTTTTACATTAACTATTATTGTATAAATGTAAGAAAAATAGATACTGTAAATAATGCAAATAATAATTATTTGTTTCAAATATTTCAAAAGTTCATATATCTGTAAAAATCTATAATAAAAAAAGTTCATGAGCATCAAATTTATCCGAAATATATTTTAAATCTTAATAAGAGTTTAATACTTTAAGATTAATTAAAACAAATTTGATTTGCTTATTATATAAAGTTTTGATAAATTTTATAATATATATATTCTTTAAAAAAAATAATACGTTTTTGTTTTGAGTACATATTAAGTTTTTCTAAAGTTGAGTATAATAAGTATATTTTATAAAATTATCAAAAAAATATTCTTCATAAGGGGATTCTAAAGTCATTTGCATTAGCGATTAAATCATAATTTTTGTATAACAATTACATTATTCCTCTTTTACAGATTCGAAAATTCTTTTCCAGCAATAAAGTAAAAAATCTACACACACACACACACACACACACACACACACACACACACAACACAGAAATGTCATATGTTCTATTGCTAAGAAAAGTGATTACTCAACTTACTTTCTTTCTTTTAAGTCACTTCTTAGCAATATAATGATATTTTTCTGTGTGCGTGTAAATTTTTTAAATTAATATTGGAGACATATAATCACAATCGCTCGCTATTAATACTGCGTTAATAAGGTATTGCGTTAATTAATTATCATACTAAATATTCCATAAATTTCAAATCTTAATAACAGAAATTGATGCCAGATTTACCAAAGAATTTATTGTTAAAATCAAAATCGGAGCTTTATTGGACAAATCGACGCATGAAAACAAAATGTATATATCACAAATGAGCGAAGAACACCATATCCAATTAAAGCGGACGTCTAATAATATTTTTGTTTGAGTTTTACAAGTTCAACTTCAAATAAACTACACGCTGATTACCTGTTTATATTTTGAAGATGCTCGTTAATATTAATAATATTAAATTGCTTGTGAAATTTAATTTATGATATTATGTACTCCAGCTTCAGTTTAGAACTGTGTTTTAGAGACCGACAAATAATCAGCGTGCAATTTGTTTGAACTAAAATTTACACGAAAACATTATTAGGCATCAAGATCTACTTTGACCGGATACGGTTATTTGTGTTAAACATTTTCCAATCAATTTTCTTAATATTATGTATACATTGTTTTTAAGAAATTAAAAAATCTTTTTAAAACTTTTCAAATAATATAATTATAATAATTTCTTATTGTTAGTAAGACTGTAGAGACGATCTCAAATTCATTCTATCTTTTCACTGTTTGAAATTGTACATCTTTATAAAAATCAAATTTTATTAAAGTGAAATCTATTTAAAATTATTTAAAAAAATGATTTCGACGTCATTTTTTTCCTAAAGTCTGGTTAATTGGAAATTTTTAATATTTATTCGCTAATCAGAGACCATAAATGCCTTGACATATTTTCTCTTCTTGAAAAATTTTTTTAATCTGGCCAAGAATCTGGTAGATAAAAAAACATTCTTTCTGAGTAGAGTCTCAGGAAAAAAAAAATGGTTATAGCTTTTTAGGAGGGGTTTCAGTGTGTTACGACAGACGGATGTAATCGTCTGAATCAGTTTAATCGGAATCACGCACCACATCATAAAGGATATTTGTCACGAGCGAGTGCTCTCCTTTCGTATGCCAATCCCTTATCCTTCCTACGAATGTGATCCCCCGCACGCAAAGCCGCATCTCATGCTCTTCGATAACACCTTATCACATCACTGTCACGAAATCGCGGAACATTACCGCGAAAGTCACGTCGATATAAATCAAAACACTTAGAATTCCATCATTTTCAATAACGTGATTACTATAATACAGAAAATGTGTGTGCAAAAAAAAATATCAAAAATATGACATCAATAAAATTCAAAATCTCTTCGCGACATTTTTCTTCTCCAAGCAAAAGAAGTGTTCTCGTGACGAAAATGATTAAAAATAAAAACCGTTTGCAATTTGTCCGTAGAAGTGCCGATGTGCCGCCATTCGATGGGAGAACTTTTGAAGGAAGAAGCATCTGGCAACTGAAAACAAGACGGCAGCAGGAAGTGCAGCGGTCGACGTTCCATCGGCGACTGAGAGCTTTCATAGCATGAACGAGAAGTCTACGGACGTGTGCGTGTGACCGAGTATACTACACGCACGTATTGTGAGTTGTGTGCTCGTGAACTCTTCCAGGAACCGATTTCGAAGGGTCGATCGCATCGGATAGCATCAGGTATAAGGCGAAGGGATATGCAGCATCTTATATCCCACACCTTATACTTTCCTTTTCTTTAGCCCTTCTTTCTTCTTTCTCTCCTTCTCTTTTTCGGCGGTGATCACAAAAGGCACCATTTATCCGTGTAGCGACAGAGGACTTACCTTACCTTTCATCCTTTTCTCAATCGGCAGGACGCCTACATTCAGAGAAACGCAACGTTTGATATCTATGCAGATATATACATAGATCGTTAATTCTGTGACGAAAATCGGAAAATCGATTCGACAACAAATATCATTGATATTTTGACATTTTTATACTATTTCTGACATTATTAAAGTTATTTAGGAGAAACAATTAATTGTAAGATAATTTTGTGATGTAATATGAAGGAGAGAAAAGAAAGAAAAGAAACAGAAAGACAATATAATAATAAATTATATTATTATAAATAATAATAAATATATATTTCTCTTTCTCTCTCTCTTATCTTCCTTTTTCTAAAATATTTCAAAATAATTTTTTGAACTTCTCCAACTCGATCAATTTTCCACAAAATTTGCTACATAATTTGCGTTTAGAAAGTTTTTTAAATTTCTTATATTAGAAGATTTCACTTTTCTCTTATTAAACGACACAGTAAATATTAAAACGTTAAAATAAACTAAAATAGCTCTATTTACCCCCTTGTTACAATCGAGGTATATTACGTTAAGTAACGCTATGATGGGAATAACACGGGGTTAATCAATGTCGGCACGAATGCAGAAGATCACGAAGGGTAAGGAAGTATCTTTCAGCTCTGTTCACTTTATCAAAGCGGATGGCCCTTCTTATGGCAAAATAGAGCCTGCATAGAGCTCTTCGCTAAGAGAGGGAGGATGTAGACGAGATAAAAAGCTGGCAGGGCGTTTTCTATATAACTCGGTAATTAGAACATCCGTCGATCACATGTGTGTATGTGGACCTGGACGTCCAAAGTCAATGCACCCCAGGTAGGTCATCCGAAATAACGCTCTTACTCGCGCCTCGATAAATATCTCTCTTTCTACGCGACATACAGACATAGCAGACACATCATATAGACATAGCACACACATACACACACAGACATACACATTCATGTGATGCGGAGATTGGTGAATTGCGAAAGAGAAGCTTGAAAAACGTGACACTGTGTGGGATCACGGACGACCTTTGACGCGGCTCGCCTTTGTCCTCTATCAGCGGGATGTTTTTTTTCTTTTAGATCATTTTTCGTTTCAGAAGAGTCCTCTTCTGATGTCTTTTTGCAGGAGGTCTCACTACCGCAGCGACGATGACAAGGAATGCAATCATCACGAGCGAACAATCAGCGCGATGAAACTGCACAAGACGTCGTTCTAGGTTTCCAATTTATCCCAAAGAGATCGAGTGGCGAAAAAGTGGTTTAAAAAAAAAATGTGCATCTTATAATTGTCTCCCTCCGGCATCGTGTCGATGTTTGTCGTACGCAAGATTTCCAACTATGTTGACATGTTCCCGTTATGTTTTTTTCTTTTTTTTTCTTTTCGATCTACATTCAATTCGCTGTTGCAGCTTTGACGTTACCGCATCATGGATGAAACTGCCATTCAATAAACGTTTTCAAAACGCGGTATTTTATCGACAATTGAATAACACGATGTCATCGATTTTTTTCCGCATGTACAAAATAGAATTTCACTACTTTTCGTTGTCAAATATTTGGTAAAAACGGACTTTCACTCGTTTACGAAAGTAACACGTAAATAAGCGTCATAAAATCTGCACACTAGATCTTTGATATCATATTAAATATTAAATGAGATTATATTTAAAGATTCTAATACTTAAAATTAATATTGATAAAAATGCTTTAAGCACACTTACATCCGAAATAAAATAAATTATCTATTCATTAAACTATAATAAAATATGCTCTTATAAATAAACAATAATACGCACATATATATATATGCTAATCTAATAATTTCAAAAGACCTTCATATAAATTGATATACGCACACGTATTATGTATCATAATGAAAAAAAAAGAAATTCCATTTCTTTTTCTTCATTTCTCACATTATGTGTATGATTTATTTATTTCATTTGGGACACATCATTTAAGACACACATACATACATAGAGAGAGAGAGAAGGGGAAGGGAGAGGGAGAGGAGAGAGAGAGAGAGAGAGAGAGAGAGAGAGAGAGAGTGCGCTAATAATCTCGAAAGACCTTCAAGAATTTATTCTTTCGATGTTCACAAACACGCTTTCTTGATTATTTTGCCTTTTTTCGAATGTTTTCAATTTTTCTCTTCGTAAACAAACTTCGTCTTGATTCGCATATCTAATTTTTACCAAAGTTTATGGGAATAAAGTCGCAGCTTGGACTCTTGGACACAAAATTTCATTTGTTGTTATCACGTGTTTCATATATCAGCCCATGTAATATAGAGTCAGCTTTCCAAATAGAAGTTATTTCTATCATACAACATTGCTTGTGTTGGGCACAATTTTAGCGAAATCATAAAATGAGTGTAAAGAGTAGACGAAAAATAGCACTTAGGAAAACCAGGAGATCATGTATCGGTGGGACAATTGCAACATGAAAATAATTTTGGAATAAAATCTATGGCACATACAAAGATGTAAAGCAATTAGACATAAGCAGTAAGCAAATCACAATAGAGAACATAAGGTTATTGCCATACATTCTCTATTATGATTGGCTAATTACTTCTCGCTTACTGCTTCTCTTACTATCGTAAGTTTTTCTAATGTGTTTCTGGCTTAAAAGTCTTCACCGCCATCTTCGTCGCGACCACCCTTCAAGTCGCCTTTTCGAGAATGCCTGTGGTTTTTAAAGAAGAAAATACCACCTACAAGACGAGAGGATACCACCCGTGAAAGAAGATATTTGTGCTCATGTTTAAGTTTCGGAGAAAAAGAATTCTATGAGACATTATTTTTGTTTATGCTTGGATTTTTCCCACCATCACGAAAGAAATACCGTAAGATGTATATTAAAAACGTAAGAAAGACAAAAGGGAATATGCTCAAAGCTAGAATAAAGATAAAAAAAGATAAGAAGAAATAGCACGTTAAAGTGATTATTTTTGATAACTTAAAAATCATTGTATTTTAATGTGATATCTTCATCAAAGTTGTATTATTTTATTTTAAACGATATTTAATAACAAACAAATGCGTATACAAAATTCTATGGGATATCTTCATAATTAGCGATTGCGTTCAGCAGAAAAAAATAACTTCAAGAATTTTGCAACAGTTGCAAAGTTGCTTTTCTGTTGAACACAGTCGATGCATGAATATCAACGCAACACTAAAAAAAGAGTCAGTAAATTATCAAATGTAAGTGAAACAGTGTTAATCAAATGTTCGGTTAATTATATGGTTAATTATATCGATTAAAATTATATGACCAACAATAATTTTATTTTTCTAAATAAGATAAATGTTTCAGTAATCTGGACGTTTAAGCGTAGGTTGTCATAAATAATTTATAATATATTAGAAGGTTTTTAATATAAATATTATATTCATTTGAAAATTCAAGACTCCCTTAAGCAAAGAAAAATTATTTGAATCCACTTATAACAATTATTAATTAAAATATTTAAATAAGTAATAGACTGCGTCAATATATCAGTGGCCAGATAGCCGATCTGACACTGAGATGTAATTGTTCAACTATAATTGAAAAATTAGTATGCTGGGAAATATTAATGTAAATAGATGTTTAATGACCAAAGACAACTTCAAATTGATCTTTAAGGTAAAAAGGATTTGAGACTGAATATTAATTTAAATAAATAAAGTTTTGTATAATCTGTTCGGTCTCAGTGACTGGACATGTACCTATGTCCGGATTTACATAACAGTTTTTGTATTTAAATTAATATCAGTCTCAAATACGCTTTTTAAAACATAATATTATAATTTAATTGTAATCTTTAAATGCAATTAAATTATAATACAGTGATAAAAAAAGCATTTGAGATTAATAATAATTTTTGTGTACGTGTCCGATCACTCTCTGGGACATTTAGCTTATTTAGTAAATATTATCAAACATAATAATATAATCAACCGTAATATTTACTAAGTAATATTTACTAAGTATTTAGAAAAAGTAAAATTATTTTTGATTATATTAACAGAACATTTAATTGGCGTTATTTTATTCAATTTGATAGCTATTATCAGATTAAAAAAAAAAGTAACGTAAATCATTTAAGTTTGAGAGGGAGGAATAGCTTGGGTAAAAAATGTAATTAAGAAAAGAAAATTAATTATAGAAAAATTAAATATGGAAATATAGAATATTGTAGTTTTTTTTTCTTTTTATTTTGCTTTGTAAATTTGATTGTGAAGATTCGGTTTTGGAGAGTTTATATATTTCCATTAATAAGTCGTAAGGCCTTTCAAAAGCTAAAAGGCAAAAGCTAAAATAGACTGCCTTCTCATCTATTATTATAATACTGATGCAATTTAGATATATATAATGGATGTACCTGTCATGATTTCTATCCAAAAGCGCCGGGGTGCTGGACGCTTTGATCCGCCGTTGAGCTTTGCTGAGACCAGGAGTTCGTCGTCTTTCCCTTCCGGCGTGGCCACTCGTTCTGTAGTCATGCAAAGGCTGAAACAAAATGTTAAAAATTGAAAATATAACTGTTAACACAATCAATCTATTAAACAAACTAACAGTAATATTACAGTATTATAACATAACATTCATTAACAAAGTTATAAATAACATTCAGTATTATAATTTTCTATTCAATAATACATATATGTATTACAGAAAATATTGCACTTATATTGCTAAGTAAGAAATTATAACATTAATATAATATTATTGTTAATTGATTGGGAACGTAGAATAATAAAACTATACTCATCCAAATAATTTCCAAATAATATTGTTTCTCATTATTGTTTGTCAGTAAAGAATTTCTTTTATTCCATCTGCTAGTACATATCGATCTCGATATCGATATATCAAAAAGGATCACGTTCATTTTTAGTACGTGGATATACAGGGTTGGCCATATTCGACGGAAAGATGTTTTTTTTTTCAATCATGGGAAAGAGATGTTAGATCGAGATGTTAACGACGTTTCCCATGATTGAAAAAAAACATCTTTCCGTCGAATATGGCCAACCCTGTACATAGCGACATATTATTGATGACAATTGATAACCCTCGCGAGAAAGTTGCGTTACGTATGTATATCTTTCCCACGATTCGACTGGGTACGCACGAATGCGCTTGATCATTCGTATCTTTGTATCAGTATTGAACGTACTTCAGCCAGGTTACCGGGTCTAATATTATGTTGCTAAGCTTCGTTACAAGTGGGTTACCAGACAACCGATTTTATTTTAAATCGTTCAGTTCATCTTCCTCTCGCTTATTTTTGCCGTGATTGACAAATTGCAAATTGCAATTGGACTGGATTTTATTTATGACTCTACTTTATTATGCAGAGACTATAAAGAATAATTACGTGGAAATACGAGCAATAATAAATCATAAAATGCGAAGTGTTTAATAATAAATTTCTCTGATGTATTAAATGGTATTTTTTTTATCGGAAGTCAAAATAATCTCTTTATTATTCGCATATTAAAACACCTGTGCGAATGATAAACGTTCGCTTTCACAGTGTCCGGCTGTAAATTATCGATTTACTCGCCGCAGCCCCCAATGTATATCACTGCACCTTATCCGTAATCGACGAAAGCGTTGATTTCGCGATTTCTGCCCATCCTTTCACGCATGCCTCCACGCTAGACAGGAAATGGAAGGGGTGTCGAGCCACAAAGGTCGATTATATCTTTGCAGCTGCCTCGACACCGCGCACGGCGTTTTACTAATTAAGATTCCCATGCGGCGAGAAATCTAATACAATATATGTGTATATAGATGTGTGTGAATATATATAGATATACACATATATATCGACAAGATAAATCCCGCTCGGTCGAACTTCTATCGCCGACACCCCTCGAATCCGTTTCACTATAATCGTACTCGATTCAAACGGAAAATTATGGAAATTTGAATCGTGCCACTTGGCTTTTATTTCGATGGAAATTTCGTTTAACGCTCTCGTGCTCTAAGAAACTTGAATATCTGTCAAATATAATCTCAATCTATGACATTTTCATCAAATAATTTGCTTCATCGGTTATCCGCTGTTAGAGAATCTGTCAATTTAAACTGTCTTGTGTTCTCTTTTTCAATCTTCCATTTTGAATACAGCGTTTAAGAGGATTCTAAAGTCGTTTATGCTTTACTGATATTTTTCAAATGTGTATTTTTCTAATTTCTTTTATTAGATTAAAAAATCCTTTTCTAGAATTAAAGTATAAACAATAATGTAGGTAGTTTCTAACTACTTACTAAACTGGTTAGACTCGTTTGACATCATATGTCAAAAACGAAAAAAAGTTGGAAGATTACAGTTTTATTATCGGATTTTGGCGTCGATTCGTAACAATATTTATTTTATACACCTACGAGTTTTATACTTTGTATAAAATGTTAAATGATTTTAGTTTGAACTAAGGATTACATGAATAAACAATGTTAAATTCTTAGAATTAAGTTTAGATACCTAATATAAAAGATTAGCTAAATAGTGGTAGGATGTCAATAACACATAAATGTGTGTAACTCCTATCGAATCGGTAAAACGTCTTTAGAATCCCCTTAAGATAGTAGAAATATTCGCTCGATTTTATCATTATTAGATGCTTTCCATTTGGTGTCAACACAAGTCAACACAAATGTCGTTCTATCTCCGTTACTCACTGAGTGTCAAGAAAGATAGAACGATGCTTGTGTCAACTTGTATCATCAAATGGAAAGCATCCATTAGGAGCATAAATTACCTGCCTAGGAGCTACACCTGCCGCAAGAGTGTGACGCGTATAACGTGGGACTTTACGTTCCCGAGACGTCCGCTTCCGGTTATAAACGCGCAGTGGATAACGTCAGTTCGACACGATACGTCGGATGTTAACGAGCACACTGTCGTCACTGCGGATGATGCATGTAGGTCGTCGCAAGCCGTTCGCGGTACACCACAGTGATGCATCCCTATTCCTACGTACAGCTACCGTCGAGACGTCACCGGCATTGGGGCCATTACTCACGTGTCGCCGATCGATGATCGCTTCCGTGTAATCGATAATTATACTCGGATCGGAAATCTACGACAGCGAGCCGTCGCGCGGAGTTCGCGTGCCGCGAATAACGTACGGTGTGGCAATGAAGTTCGATAATGTTATTAGAGAAAGAAATACTATTTAATTAATGCAAATTACGCAATTTACATTTTTGTAAAAAAAATATTATTATAATTTTAACATTTTTGCTTGTCTCAGAAAATCCATTATACATCCTCAAGTTAAAATTAATTTAATTTAATTTTTAACAAAGTACTTCTTAATTAATATACAAATGATCTTTTTATCCTTTAAAGTAATTCTCTTCAGAGTCAATGCACTTCTGATAACGTTCGTATAACTTGCGGAAACTCTGTGAAAAGTTATCTTTGGATATCGCCTTAAGTCGCTCTTGTCACACAGTTTTATAAGTAAAACACAGAAGTCATAATAATCATAAAATATCATGACCTTATTTATATATATTTATTTTTGAATTCATTTTTAAATATCAAATGATGATATTATTATAACTTAATTATAACGCTGTGTTCTATCTGATGGAGTTAAATTCTGATTCAAAATGTGATCACTCCATTTCCCCAAATGCTCTAGCAGACTTCTTTTTATTCTCTAAACTAAAAAAAGATGATGAAAGGAACTTGATTCACAAACATTTCAGACATTCAGAATATATATATATATATATATATATATATATATAAAACTTAAGGCAATATCTAAAAATGATTTATACAAAATTTTCATAAACTGTATGTAAGAACGTCAGAAATGTATTATCTCTAAAGATTACTTTGAAGAACAGTAAAAGTCATTTGTATATTAATTAAATATAAATTTATTTTCTCATAATATTCACTAAACTTTATTGCTACACCTCGTATTTAAATCGTCGGATGAAATATCATCGTCGATATTATGTCGGCTAAATGAGTTCCTACGCGACGTCGGCGTTGCGACGAAAATAGTCTTAGGGAGAAAAATAGCCAGCAATGATGAATGAATCACTAATAATATAAGTACAATATGTTAGTCCTTAGCTCCAGAAACGCAGGTAGAGTTCTTATACAAAGCTTGTGATCAAGTCTCAAAGTCTATTAAGTTCTTATCGAGCAGTCCTCAAATCATCATACATTGCAATGAAGAAATTATGACTCGAACTAATGAAAAACGAACATGTATGTTATACTTGTCCAAGTTGAAGATTAATAGTCGGTCAACTTGTTATCGACAGAATTGAAAAGATTCTCTATTTAATTATGAGGAATGGGCGTTTTATCGCGCGCGCGCGCGCGTGTGTGTGTGTGTCTAAAATAAATCGACGACATGCATCGGCCTACACGTCTACCGAGTGTTCAGACCGGAAGATTAGCGATGTTGTTTGAGGTCTGTTTAATTAAGAATTGCAATGTCTCATTGACTAACACAAGAGTTCTATAATAACAAATTTATGGTTTTACATCGATAAACAGAGCCAATTTGATTCGCGATTTATTGGATTGTTGTTTAGCCATTAATTCGCTCACTTTGTGTATTTATTATAATTATACGGGTAATTCTTTTTTATTAATCGAATGCATAATTTTCCTTCTGCAATGTAAGAATAAACATAAAAGTCTTTTATGTTAATAAAAAATATTGAATTATATTCAAATAGTTAATTTTTAAGAAAATTGAAAAAAATGAATTTTTTATTAAAAATTAAGAAAATGATAAATTTATCTATACTTCTCGAATTTTTACCGAAAAAAGATACAATAAAATTATTATCCTATTGAAATTTTTTGTAACTTGAGATAATTTCTTTTTTTATGTATGTTAAACCTCCAGCACCACTCCGAAATTTTTGATCATAATTTCTAAAAACACTCTAGGCAGTTGAGAAAAACAATATATATTTTTTATGATTCCGGACTACATTAAAATCTGAAAAAATCTTGTAAGCTTGTGAAATCTTTAATAATGAGTTTTTACTGTAATAAGAATTAAAGAATACATTTTATTTATTTTTTATATATTCAAATCTGAATAAGAATTTTGAGAAAACATGATATCAACTGTGCCTTTTAAAAGGTACAAAGTGATACCGGAGGGTTAATAATATTTAAGAATCAAAATTTTCTCATATATATATATACACGTGTTTAAATATTTCTCGTCTAAATTAGTGTCTAAATTACTAATTGGATTTGAACAATGTACTATTTTAAAAGTAATTAGAGTGATGATAATTTACTAAATAAAAATGACGTCCTATACTGTCAACATAATATTAATGTGGGATTCTACTGTATTTCATTTTAGTAAGTCTTTTCTCTCTTAAGAAAGACATTCCAAAGTAGGAAATAATAAGAACTTCACACGGGGTTTTCGCCTTTCCCATACATATTAAGAGACAGAACAATTAGGCTCAGCTCTTAATCAATCTTTGTTAATCTATTATCAATACCAACGAGTCAGTAATCTTTCAGTTAACTAATTAATCCGATTGTAATAGTAAAACAGTGAATCAGCAAACGGAAAAATAGTAAATTGGCAAAACAATTCTGGTCCAAATACACCTTTGCGTGAAAGGTCTAAGTTTGTAAACTACATTTGTAATCCTTTAACACGTTCCATGCTACATGGATTAAAGGTGACTCACGCTGGATTTGTAGTTCAGGTCGCTTGCTATTTTATCGATAAAAGGAAACGAATTACAAAATAATTTTGATATCATACGTGAATATGTAATTATAACATATTATGCATGATATATTTTACATTGAAACACAAGTTTATTGCGCTATGAATTTCAAAATTCAAATAGCTATAATTTTGTTTACAATGAACGAAATTTATCTCTACTTTCGAAAGATCACTATTTGATCATTTTTACATATAGAAAACAAAAAAGACAAAAATTTTTCTTCTCACTTTGTGGATCTAACAAAAAAAAAACCGTGTAAAAATTTTTGAAAAACTTTCTATTGAAATGTTTAAAGTTTTCCCTATAAAATTATTTTTAAAAAATTTTCCTAAGATTCTCTCTCTCTTTCTCTCTCCCTCTCCTTCCCCTTCCTTCTCCCTTCCTCCCCTCCTCCCCCCCTCTCTGCTACTGAATTATCGCAGATTAAATAAAAGAAGCATTTTGCTTCTTGTGTGATTGCTCATAACTCCATTAAAAATATAATACTGCAATTAAAAAAATAGATTTTTAAAGAAATTTTGCTGAACATGTAGCGCTATGAACTTTTGTTCCAATCTAATATGAATATTAGATAATATTAATCTAATATTAGAATTTAATATTAGAAAATATATTAGATTCTTTGATAATACTTTTAAGACTTTCACGAGTATTTTCTTCAGAGGTGCCAAAGGATTTGCGAGTCATCACCGTGTTGTGATCCATTGTTAACACCAATGTTTCGTGAATCTTGCCGTTCACTTTATCAGGGTGAGGAGCGCACTGATACTTTATCCTGATGAAGTAAACGGCAAGGTTCACGAAACGTTGGCGTTAGCAACGGATCACGACACGATAATAACCCGCAAACCATAAGACTTTTTTCTTTATAATAATTTTTATAATTTTTTAAAACAAATTATGAAATTCATGTTATATTTAATAAATATAACAAATATAAACAAAATCACCAGTGACTTATACAGTGTGATGATCAATCATTTAAAATTGACGTAGTTAAGAACGTATAATAGTTTTAAGGAAACAGTAAAGGTAAATTTAATTTTAATTGTTTTTAATTTAAATTAATTTTGATCATTGTTTTTGATTGTTTTTTCTCCGAAATTGTTTATAATAAACTGGAAATAAATTTAAATAGCTTGCAAGTAAATTGTTGCTGTCGAAAAGTATGGAAACAACTCCAATTTAAATAAGCTCATTTTGCTGAGTATAGTTACAGTTCGAATAAAATAAGTTGTTGCTATTGACAAATGTAATGTAACTACATTTCAATAAACATAATTTGAATAAATATTAATCTTCCATTAATAAATAGGTGCTCTGAAAGGATGCATGCTGCTTCCTCTAATATAGGTCGTTTGAAACTGTAGGTTTCATATATCTATATGAGTAATGCAGAACGAGTTACGTCTCTGATAAGAAACTAGAGACACAGAACAAGAAGAATAAAATATTAAAGGAAGTAATTTCATGTTATATTAAATATAAAATTCTATTTCTTTTTTACAAATTGATTACAAAAACTTATCCAATCCTGGCTTAAATGTATATTGACCCAAAAATAGTCAGTCAAATTTTTTGGTAACATATGACTGAGAAATAAGTACGCGGAGAAAATAATGTTATACCTGACAGGTCAGTTAATTTATCAAACGATACCAGTTATTTACCGTCACGTTCACCAGTAATAATGCATCGCTGTAGCCAATCCGCGACGTAGATGCCGCAAAGCCATTGTTATTCATTGAAGGAAAAATAATATTACTCTTCTGGGAGGAGTGAATCAAAAGACGCAGGTTTTACGTCATGCAATATGTATACATATATAGAAATATAGTAACCTCAAGAAAGAGATGTTATATATACTTTACTTTAAAATATCATATATTTTTAGACACAAATGCAACACGCAAATCGATTGAATAAAAACGCGACTCTATCTTCCCTGTTTTATATCAAATAATTAAGTTTGATTATTTAAATGGATCGTCTATTATTCTTTTTTTCTTCAAGATTAAAGTATTGATCTCGGAGTATCGAAACGACTTCGTGCTCTACCATAATTAGATTACTTATTCTTTTAAGTAATCACTTCCATCTTCTATTATATTTTAATTATTTCTTTAGTAACATAATTATACTTAATAATAATTAAAAAATAATTCAATGTAATAATAATTATTATATAATTATTATAATAAGATTACATATATAATTCTTGATTACGTAATTACTGCAATTCTTTTATTATATTCTTTTAACTTACAGAAACGGGGGCTGTGTGAGATGTAGCCGCTTCCTGCGTGTGACGGAGTCTGCTGGGACTAGGACTGGATCGCTGGGAATCTTGTCCTCGCTGCCAGGATGTTGACCTGCTGCAACAGACGAACAAGAAAATTCAATTATCTTTATTGCGACAGTATATGACAAAAAAAATGATTTAATGAAAAATGTCAATTAAAAATAGGACTTGATGTAAATTGAGAAATCCTTATCTCTTTGTTGAAGTCTTTTGGACTTACAGTCACACATATCGCTTTATATTCTCTCATTGACGTAACTTGATATACCGAGTGATTCAAAGACTTATTCATTCGCACGCTTATATTCGCAGTAGAATTGTATAAGTAACGTTATCTCAATTAATTCACATATAGGCTTATCGTGTGTTATCGGTATCGGATAGCAGTGTGTCCAATGGATGCGCCACGTCAGTGATTAATCAATAAACACAACGCGGTGCGTCGCTTGAATCTTAATTAATGGGTTTGGAGGAGTTGAGCAAATTCAACATACGTCTCAGAGTTGCAGTTCGTTATCTTAGTAGGTCGCATTCAAGTACGATATGTATGTATATAGATATAGAAGACCGGAATACAGGTTTCGCGTAATAAAATTCTGTTAAAATAATTCGTGCGCTTAGTTCAATAACGCGGAAAAACGGCTGTGCGCCTCGCAATCGTGCGTACTGGTGGCAAATATATATGCATGCCACATTCGTTTCAACGAACAGTGGACTTTTTTTAACGTTACAACACACGCCGTTTTAAAAGTACCGTTTAATAATCGCAATATGCAATGAAAACAAAACCACAATCTTTTTATTATTCTATTTATTTATATTGATACGTAAAATATGTGGACATATTTTCATTGAACAAAAATTGATTGCAAAGTCGCTCAAACAAAAATAGAAATTATACCAAATGATTTTAAGATACTAATATAGAAAACGATTAAATATATTCTTATTAAAAATAAATTATTATTACATTAAATTTTCTATTATTATATTAAAGAACAAAATTTTAATATAAACATAGTTTTATCTTATGCATTTAATTAAGTAAAGAAGATATTTGATCAAAGTGAATCTTAGATATTTCCGTTTGAATTTATGCATCTAATTCTGCAAATCGCGCGCCGCAATCATTTTCGATCTTGAAACGCAATCATGAGCAAAATCAGAGTAGTAATATGACTTATTAAATTGATAAGAAATTTAATAATTTTTGATGCTAATATGCACAGCTTTATAAGATTGTTAAAGCTGAGGCAATTTTTCGCAATAAATTATTCATAGATTTAAGATTTTTATTAACATCAGATTATTAATATTCTTATAAAGATGCTTATTAGCATAAAAAAATCATTAATTACTTGTCAATTTAATAAATGATATTGTTATTTTGTTTCTGCTTATGATTGCGTTTCAAGAAAAAAAATTTCGGCGCGCGATTTGCAGAAACAAATGTGTATATTAAATCACACAGATCATTTAAGCACTAAGATCCATATTTAATTAGATTTATTCGCATCGGTTTAAATTCGTATCATAATAGTTTTACCTTGTAAAATTGTAAATTTTAATAATAAATTTGTTTCGCATCGCGTGTTATACAATCAAATTGCGCAATCACCGACGACACTATAAATATCACAATTTGAAAAACACACATTATGAGCAGGAATAAAGCGGAAGTAATGCAATTAATAAAAATGTGATTTTCTTCGTCGACGTGCGATAAGGAGGAGGTTCATACGATTCGGTCGACATTGTTCGCGGCTCTCGCGATTGAACGGGGAAAACATTTTCGTAATAAATTACGATGGAGCGCATGGCTTATCGTCCTGACGCGATAATGGGTGCGATGTTGTAAGTTATGGGGTCAAGGATCACCAGGTACGATTTGTACCAACGTTTCGTCGATAACCCCTCTCACAAAGATGACGATTAATCGTTCCGATTGTCGTGCCACGAGACAATAATCTCGGGTTACGTATCACACGTAGCGCGCAATGACGTGGGCTCGACTTTCTACTTGAATCCGGCAATGCGTGCGTATACACTAAAGTGCGTGGAGCAAGCGAAGAACGCAATTTCTAATCTTCTCGATACTTATTTGCATCGCAGATCTTGAAATCGTTGCTCCTATTTGTATTCCTAAACAAATTGCGAAAACCTTTCCAATTTAACGAACGAAGCGTTTGCTCGATTTTCATAATGGATCAAAGAAATTAAGAAATCGATCCACGTGATGTGAAGAGAATCAGCCGATCGCAATAATCTCAGACGATCGGAGACGCGCATGCACTTGCGCTGAGGAAAAAAAGAGAGAGAAAGAAGCGGAAATCGCTTGGTCCCGCATTCTCACGGCAGTATTTCATTATTCGCGCGCGAATATACCTCGCAACGTCGTCGTGCTAGAAACACGCAACGGCGACGTACCGATCGTCAAATGGTGAAAGGCGATAATAAACGCCGCGGTATGGCGAGGCGCGAGAGAACGAGTGCATTCGTATCGTTCGTGTTGCGCAGGGAAGATAGGAGAGGATAGAAGAGAAGAAAAGCCAATAAAAAGAAAGTACCCTCGGTGACGGCCGCGAATAGCTGACATAGTCAGCCGCGAGTAGAATTAACAGTTGTATTCTTTTAAAAATACATGTACTCTTTTTTAAAGTCATTGGTTATTAATTAAAATTTTATTACTTGTAATTAAAATTATATTAATTATCGAAAAAGTTATGGTCTAGAAATTTCATTTTATTAATTCCTTCTAATTTGATTTTATTAGAGCCATGTTAAAAATATTTTTTTCAAATTTACAATTCATACGCAATATAAGTAATTCATATTAAATAATTCATTTTTCAAAATTTTGGCTATTTTTCGAACATATATATTGTTCTGTATATCAGATTTCAGATAATATTGATAGAATTAAATAATTTTAATGGATGTTTTCAAATTTGATATACATTTATACAATGTATAAAGAGTCTGAAGGGGTTAAATATTGACATTTAACGTATGAAAAGTTATATCCCTTCTCTCTCGGGTCACCTTTTTTTAAAAAGTGTACATATGTATTATACATTTTCCTCGTGTTTCGGATATGGTAACTCTAGCCGCGAGCCGACTACGATTGAAGGCAGGTCACGGTGTATACGGTGTTCTTAGGCACCTGAGAGTTCATCGATTTATTCCACTTTCTACGCGTGGTACCGATCGAGACCAGCGCGGAATCTTCTTTCCTCGCGCGCGCGATGGGAGCGGCCAACTGTCATCCGCAGAACGGACGAGATTTACTTAACCCCGTTGAGTATGAACGACGTGCAGCTCTCGTCTTTTTACGAAAGATCGGTTCTCGATATGTTGACTCTGTTCGCTGTCATGTTAACCTTCTCTATTACCGACAGGAAAGCGAAGCAAGGAGGCGTCGGCGAAAGCCTCCTTTAACCTTTGATTATAATTAGCTGTACGATCATAATGTAAGACCAACGTCAAGTTAATCTCGAAGAGCTATAAATGTCTTACATTTCTAGAAGTGAAGATTGTCCAACCTTTCGTTGTATAAATATTAATGGATTTGTTCTTATACAGGGTGTATCTGAAATAACGCTACTCATGTAGTGCTATTCTTAATAAAAAACTGAGACAAAAAGTCCTCTATCATTTTGCAATTTTCGCAATATTTTTTTTAGTTGCTCAATGAGCAAAATGTTTAAAATCAATGTATAAAACAACTTGAACATATTTTTGAGAGTTTTTTAAGAAAAACTTTCAACTCTTCATTTGGAAAGATATTTTAAAATTGTCTTATACATCGATTTTATGCGTCTATTCTATTTATGCGCAATATTTAGAAATTAATATCTCGTTAATTATTACTCTTCGACTTTTTTATTAGGAATAATACTGTATGGTTAATGGGCATTATTTCAGTTACATCCTGTATTATGATAATAACAATGGATTAATATACATATGAGAACTTTAGCGGACAGAATTGCAATTTAATTAAATCAATTGTTTTCTAAAGAAATCCATCCAAAATTATTAATTTATTAAATATTTTTGATACACTTTTATTTTTTATAATCGAAGAAGTCGATCTTTAATTTGAAATTCATTTGAATATCTTTAATTGAAATTCATTTTTCTTAAATTAGAGATTGCCACGTTTAATCAAAAAAATTAATTCGAAATTAATTTAATAAAATTAGATTTTATAACTTAATTTCAAATTAACTTTTTAAAAAATATTTGTATAAACTATATATTACTTTAATTACACATTTTTCTATTTGTGTTCAGACTTTAATAGTTCGAGTTATTATCGTTTGATAAGGGAATCTCGCGAAATAAAAGAGCTTCTTGTAAGATCTTCTTACAAGTCTTTATTAATTAAGAATTTTAATTAATTTTGATAATGTAAGTACATATTACATAGTCGTTTTTCTTGTGAAATTTTTCAAAATCGCGCGTCGAGATAGACATTTTGTAAGATATCCGTATCTAAAAGCTTCGACGAAGGTAAATGCATGGCACGGTTGTGCCATTATGAAATACGGTACTTTAAAATTTGATGGATGATTACAAAAACGCGAACGACGGTACGGGATCTAATATTTACCGTCTGGTACGTGGAAACTACGTCACCAGCCGCGTAGTACGGTTGAAGGATATTGGCACGTCGTGCTCAGTGTACATAAGCGGATACCTACGATACGTGCTTGCAACCAGGCATACTGGATTCTTCTCGTGGAAACGCATGAATTTTCGACGTGAAAAGTGCCAACACGTAAATATCACCAGCGATACGTCCAAGGTTAAGAAGTTTTACGTGTTAACTGCGTTACCTTGTAACGTATTGCACGAAAATTATATTTCTCGACAATTATCGAGAAACATAAGTAACTTTTAATTTGTTGTATTTTCTTTAAGGAATTAACAAATTGTTTAAATAATAAATTACGTGACATATTTGCCTATATAATATTATAAATGATATAATCTATTCTTTGTCCATATATATAAATCCAGCATTATTTATAAAATTAATTAAAAATATTAAATACAAAATACGTTTTT